ACTAAGTAATAGACGATCAATATACTCACCGATACTTAATAATTAAAGTCTTGATAAATCTTTATTTATTATTAAAAATGAATGAGAATTATTTGATAATAGACTTATACTAACATATTGTAGGGGCAAGATTGTCTCATTAATGGAAATACAAATAAGGAGCTTTCACTATAACCATCAAAGCCATCAAAATCAATTTCTCACACCTTTAAGTAGTAATATTTGCTTGGTCAAACAATTTAAATTTCCCTTTTATATTAAAAAAAAAATTATTGAGAAAAAAAATTAAAGTTTAGCTTATTTTTAATAAAAAAATATATCATTCTTTTTTAAGACCGATTAAAATAAATATAACATATAAATTAGGACATATAAAGTATAGATCTGGCTATCCATATTGTTTATATAAAAGTAATAAAACTTATAAATGCAAGATCTATATACTTAATTTGTTGATCATATTCTCTTTCGTTTTATATTATATAATAATGCTTGATTGATTAAAGGATTTAATGAGATACTTTAAATATAAAAAAATAAAGTTGTTTGACATTTTATAGCTACAAAGATATGTCAAAGATAAATTTAAAAAAAATTAATTTTAAACTAAAAATTATATAGCATTACATAAAATAAAAAAAGATAGTATCAAGATAACAATATATAGTTTCATATAGATATTGTGTGTGAGCAATATGATGGATGGTATATAGGATAATAATTTCAAAATAAAAATGAAGATGATTAATTTTATGATGAAATATCTCGTTATTTTTATCTATTTTATTTCGATACTCAAATAATTCCTAAAGATTAATCAGCTTATGTCACTTTTAATCAAAAATATTGAATCTTAATTCTTTAGAATGATTTTTTCTTACTAAGCACTTTTTATGAGCCATTTTCAATATATATTAAAATTGATCATATTAATAAATTTCGAATATTACGAAGTAAAAATTAACAAGAATATTTTCTATAGCAAGCCACATGTTATTTTACGTCATGTTTTGAATTGATTACTTCTCTGCCTACCGTCATTGCTTGCGCCATTAATTACTCAACCTTCTAGAAATGTTGGCTTTGTCTTTATTCTATTTTTTTTTAATTATTATTATTATTATTCAATATTTATATTGTAAACTTATTGATCTGAATCTAAATTAAATTCTTTTACTCTAAGAGATAAATGATATTCTATGTGAGAGATAATACTACTTTCATATATGCTTAATCGAAAGGGGAGGAAACCTTCCTCATTATCGGAACAGATGCATACTCTACAATATCTGAGTCGTTGAGATACTGATTTACATAAGTTGTTATATGCAAGAAAAATGTAATATTTGTTCCATTATTTCCTACATAAATGATTAAATCCTTTTAATTTGACTCATATTATTAATGATCACGCATATATATAGACCACACATCTCAATATTTTTTTCTTGAATTTTATGCTCGTCAAATATGCTAATGTAAATTCATTAATAATATTGTAAACATTCAAAAAAAAAAAAACTTAAAAAAGTTTTTTTGGAGGGGCCCATATCGGAAATTTACCGTAAAAAGGTTGCTATCAGGATGATTGGGCCCACGTGGAATAGATAAGTGGGCCTAGTGGCCCAGCAGGCCCACGTGAGAGCAAAAGATTAAAGCTAGATTAGGTAGCATCTTAGACGACGTGTCCCCCTTTATTGACTACTCATCATATCGTAAAAACACGCTAGTATAGGTGCTAATTATTTAAATTTGATATCAGATAAATGTATTTACGCATAGATATACTAGATACGTCAATGTCCTCTCGGAATCAATTTGGAACTATGCATAAATGCACCAGATATATCAATGTAGTTTATGTTGGATACGTGAAATTGATACTGAATATACTGGATGAAATTAATATGCATAGATATAATAAATATGTTAATACGTATTTGATACTAGATATACAGATACATTGTGACAGAAGAATACCAAGAAGTAAAGGGACGAAAGAGGGAGAGAGGGGAGATACATTCACTATATATAGTGTATCTAGAGGTAAATAGATATGTTTTCTCGACCAGATAGAGATGTTTGTTTATGAAAAAACTACCTAATTAGACAAGCATCTTAATCAAATTGTCATGTGATTTGCTTTGATCAATTTGTTGAAATTCTGCAATTTGCATCACTAAATTGTAGTATATTTTCTCCATATCATTATGGAAAGAATTAATCTATAGTATTAATAGTTTTAAAATTCAAATCCATCTCAATTATTGTTTTAATTAATAATGTTATATTATTCACATCCCAGAACGTCTTGGACACGCATTGATATTAGAATCTCACATCAATACATAATGAAGTAAGTAGTCTTTTTATATGTTAAAATCTTACATTGGTGTCAAATTATTATTTCATATTATATCTTGCGTAATATGTGAATTCTTATATAACTTATAGAAATATTACTCGAAAATAATAAAAACAACAACCAAGTATTTGCAAATTAATTCTAAATTTGTCAGCTTAATTTGATCATTCAATTCATTTTAATAGTTAGCCATGATTTTACAGTCAAAACATCTTCGCCATTATTGCATACATAACTGAACGATAATCCCTTCGAGACTTTCTTAAGATCAATTCACACTACGTAGATTTTGACTAAACACGTTAAACTTTTCACTGAAAATAAATCACATTTTCCACATAATTTTTTGAACTAGTATCATCATTCTCATTTCTGATTTCAAAACCAACCTAATGATCTAGTCAATTGCCAACATTATTTAGATGCAAAGTGTATTAAATAGTGTTAGCTTGCAACTCAAATCTTTACACTGAATTATATCATTTTTCTTTATATATACTTAAAAAAATATATAATAATATTACATTTTAACTCGTCGGTTTGATTTCATCATTCAATTCATTTTACCAATCAAACATAATTCTATCGTCAAAGCATCTTCGTCATTTATTGCGTACCTATCTGAACGACAACCCCTTCGAGACTTTTTTAAGATCAATTCACACTACGTAGATTGACTAAACGCGTAAATTTTTTCACTTTCAATCACATTTTCCACATAAATTTTTACACTAATATCATCACTCATTTCTAATATCTCACCCGACCTAATGATCTAGTGAATTGCCAACACTATTTAGATGTAAAATGTATTTAAAGTGTTAGCTTGCAAACTCGAATCTTTACACTGAATTATATCACTTTATTATATATATATATATATATTTTATTTTTATTTTATTTTAAATATAATAATATTACACATTTTAATTCGTCAGCTCGGTTTGATCATTCAATTCGCTTTAACAGTCAAACATAATTCTACAGTTAAAACATCTTCACCATTATTGCGTTCCTATCCAAACGACAACCATTTCGAGACTTTCTTATGATCGATTCACACTACGTAAATTGACTAAACGGCGTAAAATCTTTCACTAACAATAAATCACATTTTCCACATAATTTTTTGCACTAATATCATCATTCTCATTTTTGATATCTCAACCAACCTAATGATCTAGTAAGTTGCCAACAATATTTAGATGCAAAATGTATTTAATAGTGTTAGCTTGCAACTCGAATCATTACACTGAATTATAACAATATTAAAAAAAAAAAAAAAATTAAATATAACAATATTACACATTTTAAATGGAGTAATAAATAGAAAAAGGCGCAAAACCTTAAACGGCGTAGCAGCAAATATCTGAATGTTAAAGCCGATGTTGGAAGCCGCGTTTAACGCGTCGGCTTCTAAAGCCGATTACGCGCCTCCACCGTCTAAAATTACTCATATACCAATAAGTACTATTTTTGGATGTTCTAAAAAAGCAAAAAGTTATTTTATTCATCCATGCGGTTTGCACTTTACCCCATATCATATTAACGATCTAGTTTGAGTCGGTTCGGAGTTTTATTTTTGAATTACGATTTAAAATAAATTATAAATATTTATTTGATTAGATATTATAGTCTATTATTAACTGTGTGTTAATTATCGTACTATTTTACTTTTGCTTCTTTTTTCTAGTAGATCATGCAATGTTTCTTGTTATTTGCTATATTTAACTCATTGTCTCCTTCTTTTTGTACTTGAATTTGTTGTATTTGAGTCGAGTGTCTTTCAGAAACAGTTTCTCTACTTTCCTATGATAGTGATAAAGTTTGCATATATTCTATAGGCATAATACATAAACATGACTCTTAACTTGTCTTCAACGGACAACTATGCCCTCCAATTTTGAGTGTGCACAAGTAGACACTTAAACTTGTATAAAATTAAACAAGTAGACACACATGTCCTACATGGCATAAGACACATAGGATGCCATGTAGGTTACAAAATTGTCATGTAGGGTGTCATGTAGGATGATTGTGTTAATTTGTTTAATTTTATACAAGTTTAAATGCCTACTTATGCACACCCAAAGTTAAATGTCATAGTTGTCAGCTGACGCCAAGTTAAGGGTCATGTTTATGTATTATGTCTATTCTATACCTCCTCAAATCGTATTTATAAGATTTCACTTGGTATGCTATTGTTGTATGTTAGTGTAAATTTAAATTATCTCATTTAGTGTAAAATGAGCGTTTTAATATCAAATTATAACTAAAAATAAAGCTATGTCATTTTTTATCGTAATATTTGTGTGATTATAAAAACTCGAAATAAAACTTTGCTCTCATTGGATCACTCTATAGTCAAAACAAAATGCTAGAAGTAATTGTATTTGAGTCATTGCTGTCCGTACATATCTGCTGACGCGTGTCCCCAAAAAACGCGCTTCCTTCTTCCCTATTTATTCCCCATTTTCTTCACCATTTTTTTCTCTAAATACCTCTTCTCTCTTCACTTTTTTCATCTAAAATCCTCGAAAACATCATCTGGGTCTTTCTAAAATATGCTGTAAACATCAATTTTGACCTAAAAAACACTTAATTTGGTTAATTTTTGAGGTCTGAAGAAACAAAAATGGCGTCTTCTGATAATTTGATGACAATGGAGCAATGGGGTTTTCGTTCTGCTTTTAACGATTCATGGTTTACCGATATCTTCGCTAAAGAAACTGAAACCTTAACGAAAGTCTTGCAGAAATCATATACCGGCGAAGGGAATGAGGTTGTTATGCCTATTGTCGAAATGGGTTCCCCGTTTTTAACTCCGAGTGCATCTGGGCCGACGTTTTCCGGTGGGTCGGAGAACGACGCTGCTTCAACCGGAGCTTCTGGTTCGATGAAGCGGCGGAATGGTGGTGGTGGAATGAGCAAAAAGATCGTGAAGCGTAAGCCACGCGCTTCGAAGCGCGCGTCGACTACGTACATAACGGCGGACGTTGATAGTTTCCGGCAGATGGTGCAGCAGGTGACCGGAGCTAGAATCTCCGGGAACGGGAACGGACAGTTGTCGGTTTCTTCTATTTTGAAGCCAGAGCCGAGGCGACCGGTTGACCGGGTACAGCCGGTGAGCTGTTTGCCTACTTTGGACACGTCAGCTTTTCTACTGGACCCCACTTCATCGTTCATGCATCCACCACCGGCGATGGCCGGGAGTGTCGCCGTACGTCAGCCGTCTGCGGTGGTGGTTGACGGTGGCTATGGTTTTGACTCTTTTTGTGGCTTTCCTACCCTTGAATCAGGAATGTAATGCTAATGAAGTTAGTAGTATTATTAGGGACTTTGTTGTAATTTCACCTTTGTAGTTTAAGGGAGGGGTAAAATGGGAAAAATCAGATCTGTTTATAGTTTGATGGTAGCTTGGGGGATACAATGTTTTGATGTTGAAATTAATTATTATAAGATGTTTTTTTCCAAAAAAAAATGGTTTAATTTTGGTTTAAAAGAAAGTAGAATGTGTATTTAGTTGGTTAATTTGTTTATGTAATTCTATGAAGTTTCTTTAGTTTTCAATTTTCTCTTTTAGTTCCATTTTCATTCTCTTTGTTTGTGATTTCTCTTTGTTAATAGAGTATATTTGGAGTAGAGATTGAACTTCAACAAAAAGTATAATATAGAGAGTGGTTAACTTCCGTATTTAGAAGATGTATGTTCTAAAAATAAAAATATTTTGAAGATGAATGTGTGACCATATTAAAAGTGATCAATTAGGGATCTTCGAGACCAGGTGAAAGTTTGTACAATTAGGATCAAGTTGTTTTTATGGTGGATAAAATGAGGATAGCGAAATTGTAATGATTTGAACATTTGATGAGAAGAAGAACAAATGGCACTAATGAAGAGGTTGGATAATAGTGGATATAATGAAAGGTAAGTCGAAGAAGAATTGAAAAAAGATGATTAGACAATTCATGAGGGTCTGGAAATCTGCAGATTAGAATAAAAAGATAGAAATTAGTGGAGTGTTGTTTGTTCTAGTAATAACTTTATTCTATATTGCGTTTGATTTTCTTTTATTGCATGTATTTATTGTATTTCAGTTATCACATTATGTTGTTTTTGTTGTTGGTGGTGTTCTTTTGTTTAGTTGCTTTGCTTTTTCCACTATTTTTTTTTTTTCTTTTTATACATACTTTAATTTGATATACTCGCGTTGAGAATCTTCAGAAAATAGTCTCTCTCGCTCAATGAGGTAATCATAGTTAATTTAAATGTGTGGTGTACCTATTAGAAATTTTACAATTCAAGAAATGGTTCCGACATTTTTAATTATTTTTTTTTACCATTTTTATGATATTAGGAGTTCTATTATTCAGAAAATGGTTATTGGTTTATTGTTGATTTCAGAATTTGAATTATTTTTTAAATTTGCATACAAAATCTTTCATTAAAAATATGTGAATTTTGTCCAAGGGAAAAGGAATGCAAAAGTTACATCGAATATAAGTTTTTAAAAAATAATCTTCTTCTTAAATTTAAATTATTTTCGATCCACTGAGAAGATCAAAGTTAGAAATCGATACATATGATATTCAAAAATTGTCGTGGATAAATATTTAAAAACCCTTATGCATTGCCAATTCGTTGAGCTATAATCAAATATCATGAATTTTTTGAAAATTCAAATTCTTGAAAACAAATAGTAACCATTTAAATACAAAAATAGTACACTAAAGTTGCCCCCACTTGTATTAATTGTCAAAAATATTAATGATCTGATCTATAAAATCATTTATTTATGCTTCATATGGAGAATAATATATATTTGTATATTTGCTACTATGCCTTGGCAGCTTGTATAGAGAATAATGTTATATGTATAATGCATATATATTTTATTTTATTTTGTTCTTGGAGAATTAAAAACAAGAACTATAGCAGCAAACGTTTACTGAAATTATGTAGACAAAAATAAAATAAGAATAATACTGAGACATAATTATATTAGGTTGACTTTAGGTCTATAATAGATCATCGAATATATCTTAATATATTATTCTGATGAGTTATCTAGTGGGATCTGTATTTGTGTTATTCATTTATCGGGTTTGACTATTATAGAGTATCGAAGCTTAATGATATTGATCACAACTGCGGTCAAAAGAAAGAAAATACCTAGCTCCCCGGTCCCTCTGAAGAATTCGCCATGATATACCTGATCCATGCATAATATCAGGAAAATCAATACCATTTTTTAATGGAATTTTCGGATGAGATTTATTTGACCTTCTTTCAGAAGTTGTAGTCTCTTAAGAAAGGCAAAGACTAATTGATATCATATTTACACCGATCGAATTTCAAAAAAATCTTACTACGAAGCTTTGGGATTTGAGATTTCATGTGGTCTTACTTACAAATTTAATAGAATTTAATATTTAATATATAAAAATATAATTTCAACTATTATTCATTTTTAAGTTACGTTTTATATAGAATTCAGAATTCATAACCTTAAAATTTCGTTAAGTATTTGCAATTGGAATAAGAATATAATGTCTTTATTGTTAGACTTGGTCATGGAGCTAACAACCAATTAGTCACATAAAATAAGAATTACCTAATTCTATAGTTTGAGACTTCTAAAGTGTTGAACTAATTTTTTTATTTTAGTATTCTTGATTTGGGAAGTATCTATATATTTTATTACTACTATATGTTATTGGAAAATTAAATAAAGATTATTGAATAAGAATTATAGCTGCAAATGCTTACCCTAGTCAAAAGGTTACTGCATAGAGACAGGAATATTATTCTGACATGTTAGGTTTCTTGCATACCAAGGTTGACTTGGGGTGACACATATGGTTGAGATATTTTATCGTTAATTAGAAATTTCGAGTTTAAATTTATGAGAATAAAAAAAACTATTGAAATTAGCGCATTTAGAGATCGATGAATCTTGTAATGCGTGATGTAAATTTAATCAGATCATAATATGAGTATCAAACACTGAATAAGAAAATAAAAAAAAGATTGACTTAGTGTCTAAGTTTCATGATATTTTTTGACATATTCTTTATCTAGAATAATTAATTGTTTATGAAATATTTGTAGATTGAAAATTGAAGTATACTGTCTTTACTGTTAGACTTGGTCATGTAGCTGACCTACAAGACTTTTATGGGGGAAAAAAATCTTACTTCGTTTCATTTCATGTGACACTACTCTTTGATTTGATAAGGTGTTTAAAAAAAAGACTTTTAAAATTTATGATCTGAAACAATCATTGAATCTTCGTGTGATTGAGATTCATTTCATTAAGGTTAAAAAGATGATTTTTAAAATTAAATCAATTCTCATTATAATAAAATAACATTCTTTTTTAGATGAACCAAAAAATAAAAACGCACCACATAAAATGTAACAAAGGGAGTTGTTATATATATGTGGAAGTGACATAGGCATGAAGTAATGTTGACATCTTCAAACTATAGCGATTATTCGCTCAAGAAATTATATCAGAATTAATTATATACTTATATTGTGATGAGTTATATGAAAAGTAGTTACACAAAAATTAATTAGACACTACCTATCTTAACACCCAACTAATCCCAACAATCAACATTTTATTTGAAATTGATTGGTATTTGAAAGAAATTTAACGTCCAACTTGATTGATGTATAAATGTTGAATTTATTTGATGTTTTCAATAAAATTAAATAAGTCAAATATAGGTTGCTGTACTTGATAGTACTGTCCTATATACTTTGAAAAATTGACTCATCCTTCTTTAAATTATATATTTTTATATAAAAATAACACGTCAAATTTATTATTTATTTGTCTTAATCGATATACCTATATATACAATAATTACATAGAATTATACTTAACATACAACTATGGTTCTAATATTTTTGAAATTATAACAATGTATTATTATTATAAATACAATCTAAATATTTATCGCATCGCGATTTTACGTGTTGGTATAATTGGGAAAGAAAGATAGAAATAAATTTGGGCTGGTTGTTGACTTGAAAGACTTTAAGGCCCATTTTGGAGTTGTTTGTTAGAAGTGCAATGACGTGTCCTTTTTGCCAATTTCAATCACCATCTAATTATTAAAATTAAATTATTATTTTATTGCAAATTTGAAGCATGATGTCATGCTTATTACAGCATGATGCTATAATTTATGTTTTTTTAAAAAAAAAATACCATTTGTGTGGTGGATAATTCTTTATAAATAGTCCTTCCTTCTTATGGATTAGAAGAGGAAAATGAACCACAAATCATACGTGTTGGGTTTTATTTGTCCTGAATTTCTTACCATAAATAGGTTTTTCTTTTAGGAAAAGATTTTGGATTGGCTAGTCCTTTTCTTGTAGGAAAAGGTTTAGGACTCTATAAATAGAGGTTTGTTCCTTCTAACTTAATTAGCTTTCACAATGTAGTCTTAAGGGCTTTGAGAGTTTTGGTTAGGGGTAGAATTTGTGGGTCACAAGCTTGATACGTTATCGCTTGTGTGAACCTCCCATGTATTCCGAGTGAATTGGTTGAGGTTATTTCTCTCTATATTTTGTACTATCATGTTTATATAGTGGATTGCTCATCTCCTTTGTGGACGTAGGTCGATTGACCGAACCACGTTAAATCTTTGTGTCTTTGTATATTTCTCGTTTGTCTTATTACTCGTGGTTTTTTGAGGTTTGCTTTGCTAGCTTCCGCATTACACTTGCTTATTTTCTGTCCTAACAATACTTTCATTCTTGATCGAAGATCTCGAGTTCCAAGTTTTGAAAATAATTTTTTTTATAGAGAGCGTTTTCTAAAGAAAACTATTTAATAATAGATATTCTTATTTTATACTTTGTTATGTATCTTTTTATATACGTACTCAAATATTATGACATATTCATAAGAGTTCAATTCTTTATCTTTGTAATTCTCTTCTTCATTTTTTCACCTACTCCCAAGTTTTTTTTTTCCGAATAAATTCACATAAATGAAAATGGAGTGATACTTTTTTCTTGTGTTTTTCTTTTATATTTCCCATTTTTCTTGGTTGGGCTTGGGTATAAATCAAGATGGAAAGGTATTAGATGTTGATGGAGTTATATTGGATATTTAGCAAAATGTTGACTTAAGTTAAAGTAACTTTGATAAATATTTTAGCATCTCAATCAAATCAGTACAAGGCCTTGATATATGACTTTGCTCTTTTACAACGACTCGGTCCTATGTCCAAACATCACATGCCAGCACATGTAGTCACCATCATAGGTACTCAAGATATTGTGTTT